AAATATATAAATCTAGTGAGCTAATAAGGTTTGAAAGGAATCTAATGCATATGTATATGGAAAATGGTGCATTGGCCAGGTCGGTCAGTATGGGAACTTAGAGTGCAAATGCCAGGGAGAACGGAAGCGCTCAGATCTCGCACAGTACACGGAATCTAGTGGTCTCACTCAAATAGAAGGTAGGAAATAAATTCATCTAGTGAACGTAAGGGTTTGAAAGGTAACTAACGCACATGTGTAGAGAAAATGGTGCATCGGCCAGTCTGGCCGGCATTTCGCACTTCTAGTGCAAGTAGGGCCAAGGAGAACAGAAACGCTCATTTCTCAAAAAGTAAAGGGAATCTAGCGGTCTCACTCGATCAGAAGGTGGGAAATATATAAATCTAGTGAGCTAATAAGGTTCGAAAGGAATCTAATGCATATGTATATGGAAAATGGTGCATTGGCCAGGTCGGTCAGTATGGGAACTTAGAGTGCAAATGCCTGGGAGAACAGAACCGCTCAGATCTCGCATAATACATGGAATCTAGTGGTCTCACTCAAATATAAGGTAGGAAATATATTCATCTAGTGAACGTAAGGGTTTGAAAGGTAACTAACGCACATGTGTAGAGAAAATGGTGCATCGGCCAGTCTGGCCGGCATTTCGCACTCATAGTGCAGGTGGGGCCAGGGAGAACGGAAACGCTCGTTTCTCAAAAAGTAAAGGGAATCTAACGGTCTCACTCGATCAGAAGGTGGGAAATATATAAATCTAGTCAGCTAAAAAGGTTTGAAATGTATTCAACGCACATGTATAGAGAAAATGGTGCATTGGCCAGGTCGGTCAGTATCGGAACTTAAAATGCAAATGCCAGGGAGAACGGAAGCGCTCAGATCTCGCATAGTACACGGAATCAAGTGGTCTCACTCAAATAGAAAGTAGGAAATATATTCATCTAGTGAACGTAAGGGTTTGAAAGGTAACTAATGCACATGTGTAGAGAAAATTGTGCATCGGCCAGTCTGGCCGGCATTTCGCACTTATAGTGCAACTAGGGCCAAGGAGAACGGAAACGCTCATTTCTCAAAAAGTAAAGGGAATCTAGCGGTCTCACTAGATCCGAAGGTGGAAAATATATAAATCTAGTGAGCTAATAAGGTTCGGAAGGAATCTAATGCATATGTATATGGAAAATGGTGCATTGGCCAGGTCGGTCAGTATGGGAACTTAGAGTGCAAATGCCTGGGAGAACGGAACCGCTCAGATCTCGCATAATACACGGAATCTAGTGGTCTCACTCAAATATAAGGTAGGAAATATATTCATCTAGTCAACGTTAGGGTTTGAAAGGTAACTAACGCACATGTGTAGAGAAAATGGTGCATCGGCCAGTCTGGCCGGCATTTCGCACTCATAGTGCAGGTGTGGCCAGGGAGAACGGAAACGCTCATTTCTCAAAAAGTAGAGGGAATCTAACGGTCTCACTCGATCAGAAGGTGGGAAATATATAAATCTAGTCAGCTAAAAAGGTTTGAAATGTATTCAACGCACATGTATAGAGAAAATGGTGCATTGGCCAGGTCGGTCAGTATCGGAACTTAAAATGCAAATGCCAGGGAGAACGGAAGCGCTCGGATCTCGCATAGTACACGGAACCTTGTGGTCTCACTCAAATAGAAGGTAGGAAATAAATTCATCTAGTGAACGTAAGGGTTTGAAAGGTAACTAACGCACATGTGTAGAGAAAATGGTGCATCGGCCAGTCTGGCCGGCATTTCGCACTTAAAGTGCAAGTAGGGCCAAGGAGAACGGAAACGCTCATTTCTCAAAACTAAAGGGAATCTAGCGGTCTCACTTGATCAGAAGGTGGGAAATATATAAATCTAGTGAGCTAATAAGGTTCGAAAGGAATCTAATGCATATGTATATGGAAAATGTTTCATTGGCCAGGTCGGTCAGTACGGGAACTTAGAGTACAAATGCCAGGGAGAACGGAAACGCTCAGATCTCGCATAGTACACGGAATCTAGTGGTCTCACTCAAATAGAAGGTAGTGTCAGATTACTATAGCTGATGCATGTTTGTAGGCTATAGTGGGGTAGCACATATGGGGTACAGCTTCCTAGGGTTGTATTTGTACCCAACCTTGACTTAGTCATTCATTCCTGTTTTACAAGTTTCACATGGTATAGAGCGGGTTCCCTGTGGGAACTTTGCCTAGGGCCCACCGAAGCGCGCCCCGAGGCGCGCTAGCTTTTTTTTTCCTCTCGCTCGAGCGACCCTCCGTGTCGCCCTTCCCTCGCGGCCCTGCCGCCCCTTCAGACGCGGCCCCGCCGCCCATTTCGATCGCGGCTCCGCGGCCTGCTCAGACGCGGCCCCGCCACCTACTCAGCCGCGGCCCCACCGCCCGCTACGACGCGGCCCCGCCGCCCGCTCAGACGCGGCCCCTACCGCCCGCTCAGACGCGGCCCCGCCGCCTGCTCAGACGCGGCCCCGCCGCCCGCTACGACGCGGCCCCGCCGCCCGCTTTGACGCGGCCCCGCCGTCTGCTCTGACGCGGCCCCGCCGCCTGCTTTGACGCGGCCCGGCCGCCTGCTTCGACGCGGCCCCGCTGCATGCTTTGACGCGGCCCCGCCGCCCGCTTTGACGCGGCCCCGCCGCCTGCTCAGCCCCGGCCCTGCCGCCCACTACGACGCGGCCCCGCCACCTGCTTTGACGCGGCCCCGCCGCCCGCTTTGACGCGGCCCCGCCGCCTGCTCAGCCCCGGCCCCGCCGCCCACTACTACGCGGCCCCGCCGCCTGCTCAGCCGCGGCCCCGCCGCCCGCTCAGACGCGGCCCCGCCGTCCCCCCTGCCGGCCCTGCTTCGCCGGCCCCGCCGCCCCTGGTCTCACGGCCCCGTCACCCTACCTGCAGCAGCCGAGCCGCCCACCTGCAGCAGCCGAGCAGCGGTGCAGCCGAGCCGCCCTGCCGCCGAGCCGCACGGGAGCCGAGCCGCCCTGCACCCGAGCCGCCCGACACCGAGCCGCCCGGAAGCCGAGCCGCCCAGCAGCCGAGTCGCTGAGTTGCCGAGCCGCCCTTCTGCAGCGCTGCCCTGCCTGGTGAGCACAGTCCCACTGTCACTGCGTGCTCTTCCCCTACTGCTTGCACTGCTTCGCTGTCGTCGTCATGGCTACCCCTAGTGTCCTAGCGTTTGACGCTGAGGGTCGCGCCATTGACTTTGAGGTCTGGGTCGACGACCTGCAGTTGTTTTTACAGTGCGATAGGGCAGACAGCCTCTTTCTCTTTGACCTCACTTCTGGCGCCTCTCCTGCCCCTGCTGCTGATGCTGATCCCACTGTGCGCTCTCAGGGTTTAGGCCCTTATAAATATAGTGAGCTAATAAGGTTCGCAAGGAATCTAATGCATATGTATATGAAAAGTGGTACATTGGCCAGGTCGGTCAATATGGGAACTTAGAGTGCAAATGTCTCAGAGAACGGAACCGCTCATATCTCGCATAATACACGGAATCTAGTGGTCTCACTCAAATATAAGGTAGGAAATATATTCATCTAGTGAACGTAAGGGTTTGAAAGGTAACTAACGCACATGTGTAGAGAAAATGGTGCATCGGCCAGTCTGGCCGGCATTTCGCACTCATAGTGCAAGTGGGGCCAGGGAGAACGGAAACGCTCGTTTCTCAAAAAGTAAAGGGAATCTAACGGTCTCACTCGATCAGAAGGTGGGAAATATATAAATCTAGTCAGCTAAAAAGGTTTGAAATGTATTCAACGCACATGTATAGAGAAAATGGTGCATTGGCCAGGTCGGTCAGTGTCAAACATCATATATGTTGTGCTTGTGTAGGCTACAGTCGGTTAGCCTATAGGGGGTACACAATTCTAGGGTTTACTACTTGTACTCATTTTCACTGCTAGTTCATTCATTCCTGTTCGCTTATTCTCACATGGTATCAGAGCGGGTCCTTCTAAGGACCGTTTTTTTTTTGGCCCACCAAAGCGCGCCCTGAGGCGCGATTTTTTTTTAGCGACCCCTCGGGTCGCCATTTCCCCTAAGGTTTGAAATGTATTCAACGCACATGTATAGAGAAAATGGGGCATTGGCCAGGTCGGTCAGTATCGGAACTTAAAATGCAAATGCCAGGGAGAACGGAAGCGCTCAGATCTCGCATAGTACACGGAATCAAGTGGTCTCACTCAAATAGAAAGTAGGAAATATATTCATCTAGTGAACGTAAGGGTTTGAAAGGTAACTAACGTACATGTGTAGAGAAAATTGTGCATCGGCCAGTCTGGCCGGCATTTCGCACTTATAGTGCAACTAGGGCCAAGGAGAACGGAAACGCTCATTTCTCAAAAAGTAGAGGGAGTCTAGCGGTCTCACTCGATCACAAGGTGGGAAATATATAAATCTAGTGAGCTAATAAGGTTCGAAAGGAATCTAATGCATATGTATATGGAAAATGGTGCATTGGCCAGGTCGGTCAGTATGGGAACTTAGAGTGCAAATGCCTGGGAGAACGGAAGCGCTTAGATCTCGCATAGCACACGGAATCTAGTGGTCTCACTCAAAAAGAAGGTAGGAAATAAATTCATCTAGTGAACGTAAGAGTTTGAAAGGTAACTAACCCACATGTGTAGAGAAAATGGTGCATCGGCCAGTCTGGCCGGCATTTCGCACTTATAGTGTAAGTAGGGCCAAGGAGAACGGAAACGCTCATTTCTCAAAAAGTAATGGGAATCTAGCGGTCTCACTCGATCAGAAGGTGGGAAATATATAAATCTAGTGAGCTAATAAGGTTCGAAAGGAATCTAATGCGTATGTATATGGAAAATGGTGCATTGGCCAGGTCGGTCAGTATGGGAACTTAGACTGCAAATGCCTGGGAGAACGGAACCGCTCAGATCTCGCATAGTACACGAAATCTAGTGGTCTCACTCAAATAGAAGGAAGGAAATAAATTCATCTAGTGAACGTAAGGGTTTGAAAGGTAACTAACGCAAATATGTAGAGAAAATGGTGGACGTGGACGTGGACATGGACATGGACGTGGACAAGGACGTGGACGTGGAGGTGGACGTGGACGTGGAGAACTTGGACGTGGACATGGACGTGGACGTGGACGTGGACGTGGAGGACTTGGACGTGGACATGGACGTGGACGTGGACGTGGACGTGGACGTGGACGTGGACATTGACGTGGACGTGGACACGGACGTGGACGTGGACGTGGACGTGGACGTGGACGTGGACCTGGTCGTGGACGTGGACGTGGACGTGGACGTGACGTGGACGTAGACGTGGACGTAGACGTGGACGTGGACGTGGACGTGGACGTAGACCTGGACGTGGACATGGACGTGGACCTGGACCTAGACCTGGACGTGGACGTGGACGTGGACGTGGACGTGGACGTGGACGTGGACGTGGACGTGGACGTGGACATGGACGTGGACTGGACGTGGACGTGGACGTGGACGTGGACGTGGACGTGGACGTGGACGTGGACATGGACGTGGACATGGACGTGGACGTGGACGTGGACATGGACGTGGACATGGACGTGGACATGGACGTGGACGTGGACGTGGACGTGGACGTGGACATGGACGTGGACGTGGACGTGGACATGGACGTGGACGTGGACATGGACGTGGACATGGACGTGGTCGTGGACGTGGACGCTGACATGGACTTGGACACGTGGGCGTGGACGTGGACGTGGACGTGGACGTGGACCTGGACATGGACGTGGACGTGGAGATGGACGTGGACGTGGACGTGGAGGACTTGGACTTGGACGTGGACGTGGACGTGGACGTTGACGTGGATGTGGACATGGACGTGGACGTGGACATGGACGTGGACGTGGACGTGAACATGGACGTGGACATGTACGAGGACATCGACGTGGACGTGGACGTGGAGAACTTGGACGTGGACATGGACGTGGACGTGGACGAAGACATTGTCGTGGACGTGGACGTGGACGTGGACGTGGACGTGGACGTAGACGTGGACGTGGACGTGGACGTGGACATGGTCGTGGACGTGGACATGGACATGGACGTGGACATGGTCATGGACGTGGACATGGTCATGGACGTGGACGTGGACATGGACGTGGACGTGGACGTGGACGTGGACATGGTCGTGGACGTGGACGTGGACGTGGACGTGGAGATGGACGTGGACGTGGACGTGGACGTGGACGTGGAGATGGACGTGGACGTGGACGTGGACGTGGACGTGGACGTGGACATGGACGTGGACCTGGACGTGGACGTGGACTTGGTCGTGGACGTGGACGTGGACGTGGACGTGGACTTGGATGTGGACGTGACGTGGACGTGGACGTGGACGTGGACGTGGACGTGGACGTGGACGTGGACATGGACGTGGACGTGGACGTGACGTGGACGTTGACGTGGACGTGGACGTGGACGTGGACGTGGACATGGACGTGGACGTGGCCGTGGACATGGACGTGGACGTGGACGTGGACATGGACGTGGACGTGGACGTGGACGTGGACATGGACGTGGACGTGGACATGGACGTGGACATGGACGTGGACATGGACGTGGACGTGGACGTGGACGTGGACGTGGACGTGGACGTGGACGTAGAGGTAGACGTGGACGTGGACGTGGACGTGGATGCGGACGCGGACGCGGACGCGGACGTGGACGCGGACGGGGACGCGGACGCGGACGCGGACGGGGACGTGGACGTGGAGGGACGCGGACGTGGACGTGGAGGGACGCGGACGTGGACGCGGACGCGGACGCGGACGCGGACGGGGACGCGGACGCGGACGCGGACGTGGACGGGGACGTGGACGCGGACGTGGACGTGGACGTGGACATGGACATGGACATGGACGTGGACATGGACGTGGACGTGGACATGGACGTGGACATGGACGTGGACATGGACATGGACGTGGACATGGACGTGGACGAGGACGTGGACGTGGACGAGGGCGTGGACGTGGACATGGACGTGGACATGGACGTGGACGTGGAGATGGACGTGGACATGGACGTGGAGGACTTGGACGTGGAGATAGGCGTGGACGTGGACGTGGACGTGGACGTGGACATGGACGTGGACATGGACATGGACGTGGACGTGGACGTGGACGTGGACATGGACGTGGACATGTACGTGGACGTCGACGTGGACGTGGACGTGGACGTGGAGAACTTGGACGTGGACATGGACGTGGACGGTGACGTGGACATGGACGTGGACATGGACGTGGACATGGACGTGGACGTGGACGTGGACATGGACGTGGACGTGGACGTGGACGTGAACGTGGACATGGACGTGGACATGGACGTGGACGTGGGCGTGGACGTGGACGTGGACGTGGACATGGACGTGGACGTGGAGATGGACGTGGACATGGACGTGGAGGACTTGGACGTGGAGATAGGCGTGGACGTGGACGTGGACGTGGACATGGACGTGGATATGGACATGGACGTGGACGTGGACGTGGACATGGGCGTTGGACGTCGACGTGGACGTGGACGTGGACGTGGAGAACTTGGACGTGGACATGGACGTGGACGTGGACGTGGACGAAGACATGGTCGTGGATATGGACGTGGACGTGGACGTGGACATGGACTTAGACGTGGACGTGGACGTGGACATGGACGTGGTCGTGGACGTGGACGTGGACATGGACGTGGACGTGGACATGGACGTGGACGTGGACGTGGACATGGACGTGGACGTGGATGTGGACGTGGACGTGGACATGGACGTGGACGTGGACGTAGACAAGGACGTGGACTTGACCAGGCAAGCTCCTGGACCAGGCAAGCTCCTTGACCAGGATAGCTCCTGGACTAGGCAAGCTCCTGGACCAGGCACACTCTTGGACCATGCAAGCTCCTAGACCAGACAAGCTCCTGGAAGAGGCAAGCTTCTGAACCAGGCAAACTCGTGGACCACGCACGCTCCTAGACCAGGCAAGCTCCTAGACCAGGCAAGCTCCTAGACCAGGCAAGCTCCTGGACAAGGCAAGCTCCTGGACCACACAAGCTCTTGGACCAGGCAAGCTCTTGGACTAGGCAAGCTCCTGGACCTGGCAAGCTCCTTGACCAGGCAAGCTCCTCGACCATGCAAGGTCCTGGATAAGTCAAGCTCTTGGACCAGGCACGCTCCTGGACCAGGCAAGCTCTTGGACGAGGCAGGCTTTTGGACCAAGCAAGAGATTGGACCATGCAAGCTCCTGGACCAGGCAAGCTCCTGGACCAGGCAAACTCCTGGACTAGGCACGCTTGCCTGGTCAAGGAGCTTGCCGTGTCCAGGAGCTTGCCTTCTGTTCCAAGAGCTTGCTTGGTCCAGAAGCCTGCCTGCTCCAAGAGCTTGCCTTGTCCAGGAGCGTGCCTGGTCCAGAGCTTGCGTGGTCCAGGAGCTTGCGTGGTCCAGGAGCTTGCCTGGTCAAGGAGCTTGCCTAGTCCAGGAGCTTGCCTCGTCCAAGAGCTTGCCTGGTCCAAAAGCTTGCCTGGTCCAGGAGCTTGCCTAGTCCAGCAGCTTGCCTAGTCTAGGAGCTTGCCTTGTCTAGGAGCTTGCTTGGTCCAAGCGCGTTTCCTGGTCCACGAGTTTGCCTTGTCCAGAAGCTTGCCTGGTCCAAGAGCTTGCCTGTTCCACGAGCGTGCCTGGTCCAGGAGCTTGCCCTATCCACGAGCTTTCATGGTCCATTAGCTTGCCTGGTCCAGGAGCTTGCCTGGTCCAGGAGCTTGCCTGGTCTAGGATCTTGCCTGGTTGAGGAGTTTGCCTGGTCCAGTAGCGTGCCTGGTCCATGTGTTTGCGTGGTTCAAGAGCTTGCCTGGTCCACGAATTTGCCTGGTCCAAGAGCTTGCCTGGTCCAGGAGCTTGCCTGGTCCAGGAGCTTTCCTGGTCCAGGAGCTTGCCTGGTCCACGAGTTTGCGTGGTCCAGGAGCTTGCTTGGTCCAGGAGCTTGCGTGGTCCAGGAGCTTGCGTGGTCTAGGAGCCTGCCTGGTCTAGGAGCTTGCCTGGTCTAACAGCTTGCCTGGTCCAAGAGCTTGCTTGGTCCAGGAGCGTAAATGGTCCAAGAGCTTGCCCGGTCAAGGAGCTTGCCTGGTCCACGAGCTTTCCTGGTCCAGGAGCTTGCCTGGTCCATGAGCATGCTTGGTCGAAGAGCCTGCCTGGTCTAAGAGCATGCTTGGTCCAGGAGCGTGCCTGGTCCACGAGCGTGCCTGATCCAGGAGCTTGCTTGGTCGAGGAGCTTGCTTTGTCCAGGAGCTTACTTGGTCCAGGAGCTTGCCTCGTCCAGGAGCGTGCATGGTCCAGGAGCTTGCCATGTCCAGGAGCTTGCTTGGACCGGAAGCATGCCTGGACCAAGAGCTTGCCTGGTCCAAGAGCGTGCCTGGTCCAAGAGCTTGCGTGGTCCAGGAGCTTGCCTTCTTCAGGAGCTTGCCTGGTCCAAGAGCTTGCCTGGTCCAGGAGCTTGCCTTTTCCATGGGCTTGCGTGGTCCACGAGCGTGCCTGGTCCGCGAGCCTGCCTGGTCGAAGAGCTTGCGTGGTCCAAGAGCGTGCCTGGTCCACGGGCGTGCCTGGTCCAGGAGCTTGCTTGGTCCAGGAGCTTGCCTGGTCCTGGAGCTTGCCTGGTCCAGAAGCTTGCCTGGTCCAGAGCTTGCCTGGTCTAGGAGCTTGCCCGGTCTAGGAGCTTCCCTGGTCTAGGAGCTTGCTTGGTCCAGAAGCCTGCCTGGTCCAAGAGCTTGCCTTGTCCACGAGCATGCCTGGTCCAAGAGCTTGCATGGTCCAAGAGCTTGCATGGTCGAAGAGCTTGCATGGTCCAAGAGGTTGCCTAGTCCAAGAGCTGGCCTGGTCCAAGAGCTAGCTTGGTCCAGGAGCCTGCCTGGACCAGGAGCTTGCCTGGTAAAGGAGCTTGCCTGGTCCAGGAGCTTGACAGGTCCAGGAGCTTGCCTGGTCCAGGAGCTTGCTTGGTCCAAAGCCTGCCTGGTCCCAGAGCTTGCCTTGTCCAGGAGCGTGCCTGGTGCAAGAGCTTGCGTGGTCCAAGAGCTTCCCAGGTCCAAGAGCTTGCGTGGTCAAGGAGCTTGCCTGGTCAAGGAGCTTGCCTAGTCTGGAATCGTGCCTGGTCCACGAGGGTGCCTGGTCCAGGAGCTTGCCTGGTCCACGAGCTTGCCTAGTCCATGAGCGTGCTAGGTCCACGAGCCTGCCTTGTCTAAGAGCATGCTTGGTCCACGAGCGTGCCTGATTCAGGAGCTTGCTTGGTCTAGGAGCTTGCTTGGTCTAGGAGCTTGCCTCGTCCAGGAGCGTGCCTGGTCCAGGAGCTTGCCTGGTCCAGGAGCTTGCTTGGTCCGGAAGCATGCCTGGTCCAAGAGCTTGCCTGGTCCAGGAGCGTGCTTGGTCCAACAGCTTGTTTGGTCCAGGAGCTTGCCTTGTTCAGGAGCTTGCCTGGTCCAAGAGCTTGCCTGTTCCAGGAGCGTGCCTGGTCCAAGAGCTTGCGTGGTCGAGGAGCTTGCGTGGTCCAGGAGCTTGCGTGGTCCAGGAGCTTGCCTGTTGTAGGAGCTTGCCTGGTCCAAGAGCGTGCCTGGTCCAGGAGCGTGCCTGGTCCAGAAGCGTGCCTGGTCGAGGAGCGTGCCTGGTCCAGGAGCGTGCCTGGTCCACGAGCTTGCCTGGTCCAGGAGCTTGCCTGGTCCAGGAGCTTGCCTGGTCCAAGAGCTTCCCTGGTCCACGAGTTTGCCTCGTCCAGGAGCTTGCATGGTCTAGGAGCTTGCGTGGTCTAGGAGCTTGCCTAGTCCAGGAGCTTGCCTGGTCTAGGAGCTTGCCTGGTCCAGGAGCTTGCTTGGTCCAGTAGCTTGCCTGGTCCAGTAGCTTGCTTGGTCCAATAGCTTGCCTGGTCCAGTAGCTTGCCTGGTCTAGGAGCTTGCCTGGTATAGGAGCTTGCCAGTTCCAGGAGCGTGCCTGGTCCACAAGTTTCCCTGGTCTAGGAGCTTGCTCGGTCCAGGAGCTTGCCTTGTTCAGGAGCTTGCCTGGTCCAGGAGCTTGCCTGGTCTAGGAGTGTGCTTGGTCCACAAGCCTGCCTGATCAAGGAGCTTGCATGGTCTAAGAGCTTGCTTGGTCCAAGAGCTTGCCTGGTCCATGAGCTTGCTTGGTCCAAGAGCTAGCTTGGTCCAGGAGCTTGCCTGGACCAGGAGCTTGCCTCGTCCAGGAGCTTGCCTGGTCCAGGAGCTTCCTTGGTCCAGAAGCTTGCCTGGTCCAAGAGCTTGCCTGGTCCAGTAGCGTTCCTGGTCCAAGAGCTTGCGTGATCCAGGAGCTTGCCTGGTCCAAGAGATTGCCAGGTCCAGGATCGTGCCTGGTCCATGAGCGTGCCTGGTCTAGGAGATTGCCAGGTCAAGGAGCTTGCCTGGTCCAGGAGCTTGCCTGGTCCACAAGCCTGCCTGGTCTAAGAGCTTGCCTGGTCCACGAGCGTGCCTGGTCCACGAGCGTGCATGATCCAGGAGCTTGCTTGGTCCACGAGCATGCCTGGTCCACGGGCGTGCCTGGTCCAGGAGTGTGCCTGGTCCACGAGCGTGCCTGGTCCAGGAGCTTGCCTGGTCTAGGAGCTTGTCTGGTCCAGGAGCTTGCCTGGTCCAGGAGTTTGCGGGTCCAGAGCTTGCCTGGTCCAGAAGCTTGCTTGGTCCAGAAGCGTTCCTGGTCCAAGAACTTGCCTGGTCTAGGAGCATGCCTGGTCCAAGAGCTTGCGTGGTCCAGGAGCTTGCCTTGTCGAGGAGCTTGCCTGGTCCAGGAGCGTGCCAGGTCCTAAAGCGTGCCTGGTCTAGGAGCTTGCCTGGTCAAGGAGCTTGCCTGGTCCAGGAGCTTGCCTGGTCCAAGAGCGTGTTTGGTCCACGATACTACCTGGTCCAAGAGCTTGCCTGGTCCAGGAACGTGCCTGGTCCACGAGCGTGCCTGGTCCAGGAGCTAGCCTGGTCCAGAAGCTTGCTTGGGCCAGGAGCTTGCCTGGTCCAGGAGCTTGCCTCGTCCAGGAGCTTGCTTGGTCCAGAAGCCCGCCTGGCCTAAGAGGAGCGTGGAGCGGAGCGTGCCTCGTCCAAGAACTTGGGTGGTCGAGGAGCTTGCCTAGTCCAGGAGCTTGCCTGGTCCAAGAGCTTACCTGGTCTTGGAGCTTGCCTGGACCAGGAGCGTGCCTGGTCAACGAGCGTGCCTGGTCCAGGAGCTTGCCTGGTCCAGGAGCTTGCCTGGTCTAGGAGCTTGCTTGGTTCACGAGCCTGCCTGGTCCAAGAGCTAGCCTGGTCCACGAGCGTGCCTGGTCCACGAGCGTGCCTGATCCAGGAGCTTGCCTGGTCCAGGAGCTTGCTTAGTCTAGAAGCTAACCTGGTCCTGGAGCATACCTGGTCCAGGAGCTTGCCTGGTCCAGGAGCTTGCCTGGTCCAGGAGGTTGCCTGGTCCAGAAGCCTGCCTGGTCCAAGAGCTTGCCTGTTCCAGGAGCGTGCCTGGTCCAAGAGCTTGCGTGGTTTAGGAGCTTGCGTGGTCCAGGAGCTTGCCTGGTGCACAAGCTTGCCTGGTCCACGAGCGTGCCTGGTCCAAGAGCGTGCCTGGTCCAGGAGCGTGCCTGGTCCAGGAGCGTGCCTGGTCCAGGAGCGTGCCTGGTCCAGGAGCTTGCCTGGTCTAACAGCTTGCCTGGTCCAGGAGCGTGCCTGGTCCAGAAGCTATCCTGATCCAGGAGCTTGCCTGGTCCAGGTGCTTGCCTGGTCTAGGATCTTGCGTGGTCTAGGAGCATGCCTAATCAACGAGCTTGCCTGGTCCAAGAGCTTGCCTGGTCCAGGAGCGAGTCTGGTCCAGGAGCGTGCCTGGTCCAGGAGCGTGCCTGGTCCAGGAGCTTGCCTTGTCTAACAGCTTGCCTGGTCC